AATTAATGGTTAAACCTCAGCCCTTCCCTTCCCCATCCTCCCTGCCATTCCTGAAATCACTCGGATGTTTTCAGGGGCTGCCTTTGAAGCTGGGGGCTGCTGAATTGAGCTCTGTTATTAGCAAGGCTGGGTTCCCATTGCAGGGAGCTGCTGTGGGCAGTAATTACCCCTTGGCTCTCCCTGCCTGAGAACTTGCAGCTCGGGGCAGCAGCCCTGATCTTATCAGCGTTTGTTCTACAACAGTTTTCTTTCTCAGAGCATCTGTTTCACTTCCTAAGGCTTAACTCTGCCCACAAAAGGAATTTCTGTGGATTCTCTGATAATCCTGAAATTGCTGCCCCAGTCCCTTTTCATTGACTCAACCCACGGGGCAGGGGAGCCCTCATCCCCAGGTGGGGATTTCAGCAGATTCCTGGCCTAAAAAAACCTCTGTAAAACCCCAGTAAAACGTCTGCAAAGTGAGGAGGTGCAGCCTGAGCTGGGTTTCCCAGAGGAGTTTTGATTCCTCTGCTCTGGAAGGTTTTGGTCCTGAAAGGAATGGGAAGTGTTGTCACCTCGGCAGCGCAGGGGTTAACTCCAGCCTGGGGCTGGCAGCCAGAGTTGCTGTGGCCACCTGAGCTGGGCTCTGCTCAGATATTCCAGTGCTGGGGAGGGATCCCAAAATGAGCTCCTGGAATTGCTGCTGCAGCTTGCAGGGGGCAGCTGGGGGTGCTGCGGTGGCGCCTGAGGTGGGGGTGACACGGGGGGGGCTCTGCTGGCCCAGGGAAGGATCTGGTGGCACAGGGAGGCCTCTGTGGTGGCACAAAGGGGGCTCTGGTGGCACAGGGAGAACTCTCATGGCCCCTGAGGTGTCAGTGGCACAAGGAGGGCTCTGGTGGCCCCCAAGGTGTCAGTGGCATAGAGAGGGCTGTGGCGGCACAGGGAAGTCTCTGGTGGCACGGGGGAGTGCTGTGGTGGCCCCTGAGGTGTTGGTGACACAGAGAGGGCTCTCTGAGGTGTCAGTGGCACAGAGGGGGCTCTGGTGGCCCTCAAGGTGTTGGTGGCACAGGGAAGGCTGTTGTGGCACAGGGAAGGCTCTGGTGGCAGAGGGACACCTCTGGTGGCCTTCGAGATGTCAGTGGCTCAGGGATGGCTCTGGTGGCAGAAGAAGGGCTGTGGTGGCCCCTGAGGTGTTGGTGGCCCTGGGAGGGCTGTGGTGGCCCAGGCCCTTCCGTGGCACAGGGAGAACTCTCATGGCCCCTGAGGTGTCAGTGGCACAAGGAGGGCTGTGGTGGCTCCTTGAGGTGTCAGTGCCACAGGAAGAGCCCTGGTGGCCCAGGGAGGACTCTGGTGGCCCCCAAGGTGTCAGTGGCATAGAGAGGGCTGTGGCGGCACAGAGAAGTCTCTGGTGGCACGGGGGAGTGCTGTGGTGGCCCCTGAGGTGTTGGTGGCACAGGGAGGGGTGTTGTGGCACAGGGAAGGCTCTGGTGGCAGAGGGACACCTCTGGTGGCCTTCGAGATGTCAGTGGCTCAGGGATGGCTCTGGTGGCAGAAGAAGGGCTGTGGTGGCCCCTGAGGTGTTGGTGGCCCTGGGAGGGCTGTGGTGGCCCAGGCCCTTCCGGAGCTGCCGTGATGCCCTCTGGGGTTCGTTGTCCTCTCGTGCCCTCCCTGCAGAGGGGCAGTTTGTGTGCCCAGCAGCCGTGGCAGGGAGCTGGTGCCACGCTCCCTCTCCGGGTGCCAGGCTCCCTGGCTGGCAGCAGGCTTTGGTGGTGATTGCCCTGGCCTGCAGGGAATGAATCCCTGCTGGGTTTTGGGGCTGCAGCCCTGGCAGGGTGGGAGGAAATGTTCCCTCAGGGCCTGAGCTGAGCCCTGGGAAAGGGCCGGGTGAGTTCCATCCTTTCATTCAGCTTCCCATGGATGAATTCAGCTTTCCAAGGATGAATTCCATGGATGAATTCAGCTTTCCATGATTTAATTCAGCTTCCCATGGATAAATTCAGCTTTCCATGGATTCATTCAGCTCTCCATGGATGAATTCAGCTTCTCATGGATGAACTCGGCTTTCCATGGGTGAGCTCGGCTTCCAAGGGTGAATTCCATCATTTAATTCAGCTTCCCATGGATGAATTCCATGTTTTAATTCAGTTTCCCATGGATGAATTCAGCTTTCTAGGATGAATTCAGCTTTCCAAGATAAATTCCATGGTTTAATTCACCTTTCCATGGTTAAATTCAGCTTCCTATGGATAAATTCATGGATAAATGAATTCCCATGGATAATTCCATGGATGAATTCAGCTTCCCATGGATGGATTCAGCTTTCCATGGGTGAGTTTAGCTTCCCATGGGTGAGTTCAGCTCTCCATGGATTCATTCAGCTCTCCATGGATGAATTCAGCTTTATTCCCAGCTGCCATTCCATGCTCTGCCCCCCAAACCAGCCGTGCTCCATCCCCACCCTCCCTGTGGAGCCTCTCCGTGTCCCCTGGCAGTGGGAAATGTCCCCAAACCCCCCAGAGCAGCAGGAGGAGGTGCAGCAGCTGCCCAGCTCAGGTGACAGCAGGTGACAGCCATCCCTGCTGCTCTGCTGGCCATATGGCCAAAGCCTGGTGCCTTCAGCTGCCCTAAGCTCCTTTGCCCTGGAGGTGCCCCTGACATCCCAGGGTGGAGCTGTGGAAAATGGGATGGATTTTTTCTGCTTATCCTCTGCCATTCTGGTCTAATCACCCTGTTTTTATTATTTCCTAGAGAGATCAAGCCAAATGTGTTCTGTTTGACTTTTCCAGAGTCTTTAAAAGTTTTATTCCTGGGAATTCCCAAGTTCAAACCTGCTGGCAGGAGGGAATTGCCTCCTTTAACCCCTTTCCGTTCTCATCCCTGCCCTCAAATGGAGTGGAATAAGCTCTCAGCATGACCAGAATTCCCTCTGGAAGCAAGTTCTGCCTCTGGATTTATATCCCAGGGAAGGGAGCAGCCAAAGGAGAGGGTCAGAAAGCTGAACCTGCACAAATCCCTGAGCCTTGGAGTGTGCAAGGTCCAGGCTGGGAAATCCCTGCTGCCTCCTTTTCCTGCCACTCTGATTCTGCTCCATGGGTTTGATCCCAGTGAACAGTTTTAGGAGCAGCTGGATGCATAATTAGCCAAAAATCTGTGGATTTAATCTCTGCTGGAGAGAGAGAGAGAGAGAGGCAGGCTGAGGGAGAAAGGACATTGGGATGGATCCTCCCCTGAGCAAAGCCAGCCTAGAGAGGGCTGGGAATTGATCCTGTGCCACAAACAGCTGACACAACAGAAGTGGCAATAATCCCCCATTAAAGATCTCTCACTTGATGGGGCTCGCTGGGTAATTGACTTTCCAGCAGCAATTAGTGGCTCAAACCCAATCAGCAGGCATTAGGGAGCTGTGCACGAGCTGTTCGTCTTCCTCATTCCATGTCAGCCTCACAGCCAAATGATGCTGGGATTTTGGGGTGCTGCAGCACGTCCAGAATTCCCAAGGGGTGCTTTTGGAGTGCTGGGACCTTTTCTCTCCCTGTGTTTGTCCAGGTAGATTTGGCTCTTCCCTTTTCCAGCGTGTGCTGGACTGGGGTTTCACAGAGTGAGTTGGTGTTCTCAGGATGCCTGGATTTATTTCAGGATCATCCTGGCCTTCCATACCACCTGCAGGTCCTGGTTTATTTGAGGTGCTGGAGCACCTTCACAATTCCCAGGGGATACTTTTGGGGGTTTTGCACCTTTTCTCTCCATGTGTTTGTCCAGGTGGATTTTGCTCTTCTCCTTTTTCCAGCACGCGCTGGACCGGGACTCTACAGAGTTGTTCTCAGAATTCCTGGATTTATTTCAGGATCATCCCGGCCTTCCATCCAGCTGGAGCTGCTGGTTTATTTCAGAATTCCGAATTTATTTCTCCAGAATTCCCAGGGGGTCCTTTTGGGGTTTCTGTGTTTGTCCCAGCTGGATTTGGCTCTTGCCTTTTCCAGACTTCATAAAGTCCCTGGACCAGGACGTTACAGAGTTGATGTTCTCAGGATGCCTGGATTTATTTCAGGATCATCCTGGCCTTCCATACCACCTGCAGGTCCTGGTTTATTTGAGGTGCTGGAGCACCTCAGAGGTTCCTTTGGGAGTTTGGCACCTTTTCTCCCTGTGTGTTTGTCTGGATAGATTTTGATCTTCTTTCCCTTTTCCAGCGCAGAAGTTTTCATTTTTTCAGTCTTCAGGTTGTTGTTTATTTTTTCTCTTATCAACAATTCAGCACACCCTCTATATACCAAACTTAGTGTGCAAAAAAAGCACCAAAAAATCACAAAACACACAAGTTGAGACTCTTTTAAAACTATTTTGTTTAATTAACTCTTAAACCCTTTTTACCAATAGCTAATTATATGTGTGCTTACCCAACACCTGCATTTCAGCACTTTCTAACCAATCAAACACTGTAGAAAATGGAGTCAATGAAGAACAAGGAGATCAAACAGCACCCAAAATCCTCCATCTTGTCTTCTACCTCCATTCTGAAAACCCAAAACTCTTAAGTTTTTTCACCCTATAATAAACTGGGTGTATAATAAAAGAATATAATTAAATAATTATATATATTAGATGTATTATAATATATATCTCACATATACTATATAGTTGTGTGTCAAATATTTATAATATATATATTATGTATTATAGATAATATATATAATTAAATTATATAATTTATTAAATAATAAAATATATATTTATTTCACATGTTCATAGATTCCAATTCATCCTGGAGCTTAGAAGCTTTCTCCATAAAGGAAGATTAAAAGCAGTGTTCTCCTAGGGATCAAACCTCAGAACAGAGAGAGAAATATTCCCTATACCTCGAATTCCAGCACCAGGAAATTGGGACAAAGCCACAGATGCCCTCCTCACCTTTCTCACCACCTCAGGCTAAACCAGCAGCTGCTTTTCTATGTGTTTGTGCCTAAAAATCTTAAAAATCCTGGAGCCTTTCCCTCCATCCTGAGCTGTTTTTGTTTCCCCAGAACGGCGGCGTGAGCTGGAGCGACGACAGCGACGGCGGCCGGGGAAGGGAGATCTCCAGGGACTTTGCCAAGGTCTGTCTGGGAAACTGGGGACATTTGGGGATGTCTTGGTTTGGAAAGACTGCTTGGAGATGGCAAATAGAACACATTTTGTTTGGCAATCCAGGACAGGGGAACTTGGGGAATCCTCCCCTGGTCCATGGCAGAGCCCTCCCTGCAGGGAATTTATAGGAAAACTGCTTTGTCCTGCAGCTTGGGGCTGGTTTGTTGGCTTGTATTGGGTTAAAATATTTAATTCTTACTAAAATAAGAATGAACAACCAGACTTCGAATATTTAAAAATTTTAATCCAGTTTTTCTCCAGCTGGGAGAAGAATATTCTCCCTCTGGAATGCTGGATTTGAATGCTTGTGGATTTGAATGTGTCACAGCAGCTGGAGAGGTTCAGTTTGAACTAAGGCAGCTCTGCTCTCCCAGAGCTTCCCAGGAATGCAGCCCCAAAAAGTCCCTCTCTTTTGGGATACACTGCCTAGGCAACTTCATTTTAATGATTTGGATGTTTCAAGCCCAAATTATAAAGAATAAATATTAATAAATATTTCTATTTTATAAATATTTAGATTTCATAAAATATTATTATTTATATAAATGAACATTTATAATCTATAAATATTTATATATTATAAAACATTTCTATTTAAAATATTGATATTTATAGCAATATACTATAAAATTTCTAATTTATAAATATTTATTATATAATATAAATATAAAACACTTAATAAAAATATAAATAATAAATGAAAAATTTATTCCCACAGCAAATCAATCCTGGGCTGGTTTCTGGCATTTCTGAAGGCTTTTGGTTTATTCCAGCTCTGGGGATCTTTTCCAGCTCTGGGAATCTATTCCAGTTCTGGGCATCTATTTCATTTTCATTTTTGTTTTTCACCTCTGGGGATCCATTCTGTTTCTGGGGATCCATTCCATTTCTGAGGATCTTTTTAATTTTCATTTTTCTTTTGCAGCTCTGGGGATCCATCCCAGCTCTGGGAATCCATCCCATTTCTGTGGATCCATTCCATTCCTGGGGATCCATTTCAGCTCTGGGAATCCATTCCATTTATGTTGATCCATTCCATTTCTGGGCATCTTTTTAATTTTCATTTTTCTTTTCCATCTCTGGGGATCCATGCTATTTCTGGGGATCCATTCCAGCTCTGGTAATCCATTCCATTTCAGGGGATCCTTTCAGTTTCTGGGGATCCTTTCCATTTCTAGAGATCCATTCCATTTCTTGGGGATGCTTTTCATTCCTGGGAATCCATTCCCTTTTGGGGGATCCATTCCGTTTCTGGGAAACCATTCCCTTTCTGGGGATCTATTTAATTTTCATTTTTCTTTTCCATCTCTGGGGATCCATTCAATTTCTGGGGTTCTTTTCCAACTCTGAGGATTTGTTCCATTTCCAGGGATCCCACTCCATTTCTGGGAATCCATACCATTGCTGGGAATCCATTCCATTTCTGGGGATCTTTTCCATTTTCACTTTTCTTTTTACAGCTCTGGGGATCCATTCTGTCTCTGGGGTTCCATTCCATTCCTGGGGATCCTTTCTATTTTTGGGAATCCATTTTACTTCTGGGGATCCTTTCTATTTCTGGGAATCCATTTTACATCTGGGGATCCATTCAGTTTCTGGGGATCCTTTCAGTTTCTGGGGATCTATTCCAACTCTGGGAATCCATTCCATTTCTGGGGAACTTTTCCATTTCTGGGGTTCTTTTCCATCTCCAGGAATCCATTCCATTCCAGGGATCCATTCCATTCCTGTGCATCCTTTCCATTTCTGGGAATCCATTCCAGCTCTGGGGATCCATTCCATTTCTGGGCGTCTTTTTCATTTTCATTTTTCTTTTCCATTTCTGAGGATCTTTTCAATTTCTGGGAATCCTTTCCATTTCAGGGGATCTTTTTCATTTTCATTTTTCTTTTCCATTTCTGGGAATCCATTCCCTTTCTGGGGATTCTTTCCATTCCTGGGCATCCTTTCCATCTCTGGGGATCCTTTCTATTTCTGGGAATCCTTTCAATTTCTGGGGATCCATTCCATCTCTGGGGATCTTTTCCATTCCTGTGCATCCATTCCATTTCTGTGGATCCTTTCCATCCCTGGGGATCCATTCCAGCCATGACCACCAAGCCCCTCTCCGTGTCTCCCTCTGCCTGTGCTGTCCCTCCCCCTGGAAGCAGGCAGAATTCTGGAATTTTCTGTTTCCCTGGGAGCTGTGGTCTCACTCTGCTTTGTGCCCCCAGCTGTACGAACTGGACAGCGATCCCGAGCGGAAGGAGTTCCTGGATGACCTCTTCATCTTCATGCAGAAGAGGGGTGAGTGACTTTCCTTGGATTGCAGGAGTGGAACGGGGCAGGAGAGGGAATTCCTGCCTGCTGAGGCTGGAAAAACAAATCCTGGAGTTTGGGGCATTTCCCTTGGCATTGGAGGAGAGCAGTAGGGAAGATCTGCCCTGTAAATTAAATTAATTTAAATAAATTTAAAACAAGAAATTAAAATTAAATAATTAAGTAAATAAATTTAAATTCATTAATTAATTTAAATTAAATTAAATTCACCTTCAATTTCTTTGCTTTCTGATGTAGTGCTGGTGTTGTCCATGCCCTGAAGATCCCAGGAACCTTTTCCTGGAATTTCCAGGGTGTCAATGATCCCAATCCAGTGTTCAGAGCAGACTGGTGATAATTAAAATGTGTTTAACTGGGGTGTTGGGTAACAGATGCACCTCGGAACGTTTGGGGTGTCCTCTTGTCCCCCTGAGGGTGTCAGTGGCACAGAGCAAAGTGTTTCTAACATCCCAATCCTAGACTCAAGAGCTGCATAGTTCCCAAAAAAACCCAAATCCAGCTCCTCTCCCAAGGGCAAAGTGTTTTTAAAACCCCAATCCTGGGCTGAGGAGCTGCCTGGTTCCCAAAACCCCCAAATCCAGATCTCCTGAGAGCAAAGTGTTTCTGTATCCCAGTCCTGGGCTGAAGGGCTGCTGGTTCCCAAAAACCCCAAATCTGGCTCTCCTGAGAGCAAGGGATTTCTGACATCCCAATCCCATTCTGAAGAGCTGCCTTGTTCCCAAAAAAAACCCAAATCCGGATCTCCTGAGAGCAGAGTGTTTCTGACATCCCAGTCCCACAAAAACCCCAAATCTGGCTGTCCTGAGAGCAAGGGATTTCTGACATCCCAGTCCCGTTCTCAAGAGCTGCCTGGTTCCCAAAAGAACCCAAATCCAGCTCTTCTGAGGGCAAAGTGTTTCTGACATCCCAATCCCAGTCTGAAGAGCTGCCTGGTTCCAAAAAAACTCCAAATGCAGCTCCTCTCCTGAGAGCAGTGTGAAGAGCTGCTCCATTTGCCCCTGGTGTCTGTGGGGTCAGGCAGCAGCTCTGCCAATAAAAATCCCACTGTAAAAACCTAAAAGCAGGGATTTGCTGCTGTCCAGGGGGAGCTGAAGGAGCAGAAACTGCAAAGATGAATGGGATTTCACAGGAGCTGCAGGGATGAAAAGGCTGGGATGGTTTGGGGTGCCCCTGGGACGGGGCAGCCATGGAGCAGCTCTAACACAGATCAGATGTGGAGGGCTGTCCCCAAGGGCCATAAAAGGGCCCTGGAGCAGCAGAAACTATGGAAGGGGGCATGGAATGGGCCTTTGTGGGGTTTTGTTCCTCAGAGGGGACACCAGACATAAGCTGGAGCTGGCCTTTGTAGGGTTTTGTTCCTGGGAAGCTGGAACTGACCTTCGTAGGATTTTTTTGTGGAAGGAGCAAGTGGGCACAGGGAGGGTGGGACAGCGGTGCTGGGGGTGATGCCTTAGGAAGGCTGAGCTAAAACTGAGACTAGACTGAGCTCAAGAATAATGCAGGGATTTGTTAAAAGAACCTCCTCAGTGGATCCACCTTGGGCAGCACAAGAGCCCAGCCAGGGCTACACCCAAGATGAAGCAAAATGGTCACAAAAATGGGACAACCGATCACAGGGTCTCTCACTTTTATGAGTTTTGGGCCATTTGCGTATTGGAGTTAATTGTCAATTACAGCTTCGGGTTATGAATCCCTTCCTTCTTGTTTTTCTCTCTTCAGTCAAAGATTGCAGCTCTCCCTAAAACACAGTCAGGGGTTGCAGCTCTCCATGGGATCAGGGCAGGATCAGGGGGTTGCAGCTCCCCATGGGATCAGGGATTGCAGCTCCCCGTGGGATCAGGGATTGCAGCTCCCCATGGGATCTCCATTCCAGGGATTGCAGCTCTCTGTGGGGTCCCTGTTCCTTTTTATCCCAACTCTAGAGAACCAAACCCCACAAATCTCAGGCTGAAACCCTGAACCAGCCAGGATTTCTCCTTGAAGAAGGATTTGAGCAAACCAGGAGCTGAGACAGTGCAGGGGTGGAGTTGATTTGCTGCTGTAAAATGAATTTTCCCTCTGTTCAGCTGGGAATTCACACACCCCACGGAATTACTGTGCCTCCCTTCAAAGATGAAACAGGAAATTCTGTTTTTCTTGAGATTTGGCTCAGTATTATTTTAAATCACTGTGGACTTTCCCAATTTCCTGGGGAAAACCTGTTCCTTCTGGCTGCCTGATACAGCATCTCCCCTGAACATATTTGGAGTGGGAAGAGCAGCTTTTTATTTACCTGCTCCAGGTTGTGGCTTAAAAATGTCTTTTCTGTGCCTATTTTTCACTCCAGTGGGAGTGAAAAAATCCCATTTTAGTGGGATTTCAAGGCCTCTGTGCTGAACAAACCCTGGGGATTCTCACCTCCTTTGTTCCTTGCTGTAAAATGGACACTTGTGCGAGGAAATTGGATAGGGTAGGTGGGAGGTGATTTAAAAAGCAGAGCTGGGTGTGATTAAATGCTCTTTGTGCAGGACAAGTCGTGGCTTAAGCTGCTGGAAATCCCTGTGTGGAAGGGAATCTCTGGCATGGAGGCCAAGGAAAGCCATAAAATTCCCTGGAATTCACCTCAAACTCACCTTTGGGGCAGTTCTCCTCAGTCTGCATCTCCAGCTTGAGGTCTGCCTGCCAGGCCTGGCCAAGGGAGGGTGGAGAGGAGGAGAACAAAGCCCTGGGGTGGGAGGGAGAGGATGGTCCCAGTTAATCCCTCAGCCAAGGATGTGCCAAACCCCCTTGCCCAGGTGATTGCCAGGTGTAATCCCAGCCATTCCAGGCTTTTCTGGGGCTCAGCCCCTCCAGGAGCTCCAGCATGGGACAGAGGGGACACTGAGGTCCCTCTGGGTTAACCCCTGAGGCTCCCTGGGACAGAGGAGACTGTATTGACTTACTGATGACACTTAGTTAATCAACAATTGTGCTTTTTTTATATTTTGTTCAAGGCACCTCCTTTTCCTTCAAGATTTTAAGACAGATGAGGCTGCATCTCACCCCTGGAGGCTGCAGAATTCTGTCTTTAAGGGGGACATGGTTTAAGCTGTAGTGTGCTAACATCAATAAGGCATAACTAAGAAACTGTCATCAGATGTGGTTTTTAGGGTAACACAAAATTATTTTGCTAAGGATATCCTGAATTTTTACTAGTTGTAGGGGCCAAATTGGATATATCTACTGCAGTTCAAGAGCTTGGGAAGGAGAGACATTCCCTCAAAGGCCAGAGATGTTTGTGGCCTTCCTCTGGGAAATCCTTTATTCCAGAAACCCAGATTGTGGCTGCCTTACAATCAGTTAATCAACAATTGTGCTTTTTTGTAGTTTTCTTTAAGACACCTCCTTTTTCTTCAAGACTTTCCAATTCCCCAGTTGCTGTTTAACCCCTCTGATGGTTGTTTCTTTTCTAAAGAAGTTTTGGTGCCCGTTATGTGTAGGTGATCTGGGCACCTGTGGGTGCACCCCCACTTTGTCCCAAGTTCCTCTCTAAGGCAGGATAATCAGTAAGGCATAATTGAGAAACTGTCATCAGTTTCCAGATGTGATTTTTAGGGTAATGCAAAATTATTTTGCTAGTTGTAGGGGCCAAATCAGATATATCTACTGCAGTTCAAGAGCTTAGAAAGGGGAAAAGGCTTTTCAAGGGAAATTTAGGTTGAATATCAGGAAAAAGTTTTTTCAGAAAGGGTGATAAAGTTCTGGAATGTTCTGCCTGGAGAGGTGGTGCAGTCCCCATCCCTGGATGGGGAACAAAGCCTGGATGTGGCACTGGGTGCCAGGGTTTAGTTGAGGGGTTGGGGCTGGGCTGGATTCTGTGATCTTGGAGGTCTCTTCCAATCCGATGATTCTGTGAATTCTGAGGGAGACATTCCCTCAAAGGCCACAGATGTTTCTGGCTCCAGTCAGCCTTCCTCTGGAAAACCCTTTATCCCAGAAACCTGGATTGTGGCTGCCTTTCTGCTCAGAAAACCAGCAGCCCTTGGGATGACTCTGCTTTCCCCTTCCACATTTATCAACTCTGCATCCTCCCTTTCCCAGTGGGAACTGACTCCTCGTGCCCCTCATTTGGCTGGGATGAGCCAGCTGATCTGGCTGGGATGAGCCAAATTGTGGGGCTGGGGTGAGCCAAATGATGGGGCTGGGTTGAGCAAATTACAGAGCTGGGATGAGCCAAGTGATGGGGCTGAGGTGCACCAAGTTATGGGGCGAGCCAGGTGATGGGGCTGGAATGAGCTAAATTATGGGGCTGGGATTGAGCCAAATTGCAGAGCTGGGATGAGCCAAGTGTTGGGGTTGAGGTGCACCAAGTTATGGGGCTGTAATGAGCCAAATTTTGGAGCTGGGATGAGCCAGGTTATGGGGCTGGTGTGAGCCAAGTGATGGAGCTGGGATGAGCCCAGTGACAGGGCTGGGATGAGCCAAGTTTTGGGGCTGGGATGAACCAAGTGATGGAGCTGAGATGAGCCAAGTTTCAGAGCTGGGATTGAGCCAAATTACAGAGCTGGGATGAACGAAGTGATGGGGCTGGGATGAACCAAGTGATGGGGCTGGGATGAGCCAAGTGATGGGTCTGGGATGAACCAAGTTTTGGGGCTGGTGTGAGCCAAGTTACGGGGCTGGGGTTCTGCTGAGAGGCAGGAGAAGTTATTTTCCGAGGAAACCGAGAGAGGAAGATCTTCCTCTGGCTCGGGGCAGGAGGTTTGCAAGTACAGTAAAATGAGTTTACCATCAAAAGGCAACAAGTCTTGTGCCGTGGCCCCGGCTCTGACCTTTCCCTCTGGAATTCTGCCCCCTGGCCCCGGGCTCATTAATCCTGGCGCTGCCAGATGACAGTAATCCATCACAGCCCTGACAGCCCTGCCCAGCTCAGGATCTGCCCTTTCAGCCTTTCCTGTGGCAGCGCTGGGGGTTTCCAATAAAACCCTGCCTTTATCGCCTTCCCCGGGCTGGCCTGGGGGAGGAGGGGGCACCAAATCCCTCTGGAAAACACCGGGAATTCACCGGGACTCGCTCTCTGCGGGACCTGCGGGGTGGTGTTGGGGCAGTGCTGGAGGAACACGTGGAAAATGGAATTATTGCAGTGGAAAATAGAATTATTGCAGTGGAAAATGGAATTATTGCAGTGGAAATGGAATTATTGCAGCTCCTGGGAGCAGTTCTGTCCCTACTGCAAAGTTTCTCAGCTGCACAAAGGAATTTTATTTTGGGGGGAACCAAACTCGAGGTTTTATCTCAGTGGATATATTTGTATTCTGTGTGTAAACACATTTAGCTGAGTGTTTCTGTATAAAGCCCTGTTTAGCTGAGTTTATAAATATGTGTTTCCATCTAAATCTTGATTTAGCTGGCTTTATAAATGAAATTTCGGGGCACTTTGGTCCTGTTTAAAGCACAGCTGAGGGAGGGAAGCTGTCCTGGGGGTGCTGAAATTATTGCAGCTCCTGGGAGCAGTTCTGTCCCTGCTGCAAAGTTTCTGTCAGCTGCACAAAGAAATTTTATTTTGGGGTGGAAACCAAATTTGAGGTTTTATCTCAGTGGATAAATGTAAATTCTCTGTGTAATAGAGTTTATAAATGCATGTTTCTGTATAAAGCCCTGTTTAGCTGAGTTTGTAAATGTGTGTTTCCATCTAAATCTCGATGTAGCTGGGTTTGTAAATTAAATTTCTGGGCACTTTGGTCCTGTTTAAAGCAAAGCTGTCCTGGGGGTGCTGAGGTGATGGAATTATTGCAGCTCCTGGGAGCAGTTCTGTCCCTGCTGCAAAGTTTCTCAGCTGCACAAAGAAATTTTATCATTTAACCAAACTCAAGGTTTTGTCTCAGTGGATATATTTGTATTCTGTGTGTAAACACATTTAGCTGAGTTTATAAATGTGTGTTTCTGTATAAATCCCTGTTTAGCTGGGTTTATAAATGAAATTTCAGGGCACTTTGCTCCTGTTTGAAGCACAGCTGAGGGAGGGAAGCTGTCCTGGGGGTGCTGAGGTGATTCAGGGGGTTCAGACCCCCTCACTGTTCCTGCTCCAGCTGGGAGCAGCTCTCTGGAATTACTTCAGCCTTCATTCCCCAGTGCTGCAGGTGATCTTTGTGCCTCTCACAGGAGTATCTGGATTATTCATTTGTGTATTTTCCCATCTGCTGAGCTGGGGAAATCTGGAAGAGAGTAGAAGCGTGTTTGGGGGAAAGCAGGGTACTAAAAAGCAGATATTTGTTAATATTTTCTGAGTTGCTGAGAACATGGCTCTTCCCTTTCACTCTCCATCTGGATGAAAGTCCCTGCTGGACAAATTAATGCCATTTCCTAAATTGGATTGGGAAAACTGGGGTGGCTTTGGCTGGGGGGAGAGGGGCTTCATCCTCCCCCAGCCCAGCAAAGGCTTTGCTGCTGTGGCTAATTAATGAAAGGAGGGGAATTTTGGGCTGTCCTGGGGGCTTTGGAAGGAAATATTTCCCTGTTTTCCCTGCGGGTGTGACTCAGGTGATGAGTGACAGCTGGAGGTAACTTGATCATGCCCTGATTCCCAGTGCTGCTGTCACCCCGAGACAAAATGGATGCTTGGGAAAAAAACCAGAGGAAATTGAGGATTTTTGGGAGGGAGGGATGGAGCCACAGAGATTTTGGAGGTTTTGGAATTCTCTCCGTGCTCCTTGAGGGGTCTGTGCCCCTGAAATTTGGGAAGGGGATGTGGATCTGCTCCTTGGGCTGCTCGGACAGGGGAAGAGGCTGGGATTGATATAAATTGAAACACTTTGAATCTGTGGGGTTTTCAGCCCTTTAGAGCTGCAAAAATGGGCTGTTTTATCCAGCATCTCATTAACCTGTGGGAATTGGCACCACGAGCCAATAATGCCTAATGGGATTCCCAAAGAAGAGACAGGGAAAAAAAAATCCCCCTTGGATGTCTGACAAGGACATCTGCAGGGCCCCTTTCATGGCACGGAATAAACCCATTTATAGGGCCATAAATGGGGGATCAGGGGCTGCCAGCAGTGGCACCAGCCTCCCCTGGGGACTGGGGATTCCACAATTGTCCCCTGCCCCCCTCCCAGCCTTCCTGCCAGGCTGGGGCTGCCCATTGTGGGGACAGGATGGGCTGGGCGGCCCTTTGATCCAGGACAGAGTTTCCCAGGCCAAATAAAAGCTCTGCCACTTCAGCTTTTTATTATTCCTTCTTCCTCTCCGTGCCTAAATCTCCTTCATTTGGGCGTTGGCACTTCCAGGAGCTGCCAAAGGGAGAGGTTAAAAATCAGATTTTCTTCCACATTAACCCAAAATACACAGAAGCAAGCAGGAAGGATGGAGCAGGACCTGGTTTGGGGATGCTCAGAGCTGCTGTGGCCTCGTCAGGGAATTGTTTGGGAGGGAAAAGAAGTGGGAGGCTGGAAGCAGCAGCCTTTATTTACCTCTCCAGGTTGTTCCAAGTGTTCAACAAATAAGGGAGGATGGAATTCTGTGGGGGAGAGATGTTCTCCAGTGCTGATTGCCTTGGTTCTGCTGTTCCCAGGCAAACAGCACATCCTGGGCCCTGAGGGAGCATTTTTATCCAAGGATTTTAACCCTGAGCTCATAAAACCCATTCAATAGTCCCAACTTCCCCTCTTTCTATTCCAGGAGCTGCAGGTTTTTATTGCTCTGCTAATTCCCTTTACCCACAGGAAAGGGTTTTCCATGGAAACACCTCGAGCCAAGCTGCAAATTCCCTGAATTTCCTGTTAGGGCAGTGTCACTGTTGTATTTTCTGGAAAAATCTTCTTTCCCAGGATTTTTCTCCTGGGAAGCTGAGAAGCCTCAGAGAAAAATGAAAACAATAATTATCTGATTTGCTTCTCCTGTGTTTTGCTGCTGTGGAATGTGTTTGGACATTATTTACCAAGAGGTGGTTGTTCCATTGGTTGCATGTGAATGGTTTTTGGCCAAGTATGGGACAGCTTTTTTGGACTCTGGAGGAGAGAGTCACAAGTTTTTGAGTAGTATCTTTCTAGCTTTCTGTCTGTATCCTTTCTGTATTCTTTAGTATAGTTTAGTATAGTATTCTTTAATATCTTATAGATCATAAAATAATAAATTAACCTTCTAAGAACATGGAGTCAGATTCATTCCTCTCTCATCCGGGGACCCCAAAAATACCACAGGGCAGAGAGAGCTGGATCCTGTCACTGATATTTTATGAAAATCCTTTCAGATTTTCTCCTGAGAAGCCTCAGAAAAGAAATATAAACAATAACTATCTGATGGCTGTGGAATGTGATCTGGAGATAGTTTACCAGCAGGTGCATCTTTGACTGGTCTCATAAATTGTTTTTACTTGATGACCAATCATGGTCCAGGCTCTGAGCAGTCAGGAGTGTTTATTATTTCATTCCTTTGCTAGCCTTCTGATGTATTCCTTTCTCTATTCTTTTTAGTATAGCATATATAACGTGATATAATATGCTATAATATCATATAACATGCTATAACATAACATAATATAACATAATATAATATATCAGCCTTCTAATAAATATGGAGTCAGATTGATCTCTTCCCTTGTCCTGGGACCCATGGACACGATCCCCCCGAGCTCATGCTCCCCGTGCCCCTTTTTGCAGGAACTCCCATCAACAGGATCCCCATCATGGCCAAGCAGATCCTGGATCTCTACATGCTCTACAAGCTGGTGACCGAGAAGGGCGGGCTGGTGGAGATCATCAACAAGAAGATCTGGAGGGAGATCACCAAAGGCCTTAACCTGCCCACCTCCATCACCAGCGCCGCCTTCACCCTGCGCACACAGTGAGTTCACAGATGGGAACAGAGCGTGCAGTGTAAATGTGTCTGGGTTCATGTGTGGTTGTATTTATAGAAATGGAAACACATATTTTATAAATAAATTAAATATAGTAGAAATATAGTATAAGTATGTAATATATATAGATATGTTATCAATATAAATTTAAATATTTCTATTCATTATATATAAATATAATAAATATATACTATATAGAAATAGGTACGTATTTAAATATAAAAATATTGGTATATTTATAAATATATTTATCTTTAAGTATAAACTATATAACCATTTTATTAATACAAATTTAAATATTTTTATTTATTATGTAAATATATAATTAATATATGCTATGTATTTATATAAATATAAATGTAAATGTATTTAAATATATAATTGTTTCTACATTTATAAATATATTTATATACAAAATATAAAAATTCTTATAAATATAAATTTTATTATTTGCATTCATTATATAAATACATAATAAATATATACTATATATTTATATTAATATAAATGTGTATCTATTTAAATATTTATATATTTATAAATATATATTTCTATATAAGTATTTTATAAATATAAATTTAAGTGTTCATATTTATTATATAAAATATAATATATATACTATAATTTTATAATATATATTATATGTTATTGATATATAATATAAATATCTTTAGACTTTTAAAAATATATAATATATATAATTTTAACATATATACTGATATATAATATCAATAATTGGATATTATTGGAATAATCGAATTTGAATAATCCAATTATCCCAGTGGATATTATTGGAATAATCCAATTAAGATTATTGGATACTTATCTGTTATTGGACATTTGCTTTTGGGTATTTGCTGTTATTGGGTTAGATGATTATTAGGTGTTTGCATTGATAGTTTTTTATTATTGCTAGATATATCTGTTATTAAATACCTATTATTAGTTGTAAATTATTTGTAGTAAATATTGTTATTAATAATATAATATATAATATATAATACACAAATAATATAATATAATGTAATATAATATATTACATATATATATAATATAATATAATTAATATAATAGAATTATTAGTAGTATTATTAGTAAATATTTAGAATAGAGACTGGCCAAGGTAAAGCCTCTAAAGGGGGAAATGATGCCTCAGCATAAGGAGCTCCTGAAGGGAATTCTCATCCTCACCTCCCTCCAGCCCCAGCCTTTTTGCCTCTTTTCTCAGTTGTGAGGGAATTCTGGATGGTTTCTAGAGAATATTCCAGTTGTGAGGGAATTTTGGATGATTTATAGATAATATTTCATTTGTAAGGGAATTCTGGTTGATTTGTAGATAATAGTTCAATTGTGAGAGAAATCTGGGTGATTTATGGACAATATTTCAATTGTGAGGGAATTCTGAATGATATAATATATAATACACAAATAATATAATATAATGTAATATAATATATTACATATATATATAATATAATATAATTAATATAATAGAATTATTAGTAGTATTATTAGTAAATATTTAGAATAGAGACTGGCCAAGGTAAAGCCTCTAAAGGGGGAAATGATGCCTCAGCATAAGGAGCTCCTGAAGGGAATTCTCATCCTCACCTAATATATGCTATGTATTTATATAAATATAAATGTAAATGTATTTAAATATATAATTGTTTCTACATTTATAAATATATTTATATACAAAATATAAAAATTCTTATAAATATAAATTTTATTATTTGCATTCATTATATAAATACATAATAAATATATACTATATATTTATATTAATATAAATGTGTATCTATTTAAATATTTATATATTTATAAATATATATTTCTATATAAGTATTTTATAAATATAAATTTAAGTGTTCATATTTATTATATAAAATATAATATATATACTATAATTTTATAATATATATTATATGTTATTGATATATAATATAAATATCTTTAGACTTTTAAAAATATATAATATATATAATTTTAACATATATACTGATATATAATATCAATAATTGGATATTATTGGAATAATCGAATTTGAATAATCCAATTATCCCAGTGGATATTATTGGAATAATCCAATTAAGATTATTGGATACTTATCTGTTATTGGACATTTGCTTTTGGGTATTTGCTGTTATTGGGTTAGATGATTATTAGGTGTTTGCATTGATAGTTTTTTATTATTGCTAGATATATCTGTTATTAAATACCTATTATTAGTTGTAAATGATTTGTAGTAAATATTGTTATTAATAATATAATATATAATATATAATACACAAATAATATAATATAATGTAATATAATATATTACATATATATATAATATAATATAATTAATATAATAGAATTATTAGTAGTATTATTAGTAAATATTTAGAATAGAGACTGGCCAAGGTAAAGCCTCTAAAGGGGGAAATGATGCCTCAGCATAAGGAGCTCCTGAAGGGAATTCTCATCCTCACCTCCCTCCAGCCCCAGCCTTTTTGCCTCTTTTCTCAGTTGTGAGGGAATTCTGGATGGTTTCTAGAGAATATTCCAGTTGTGAGGGAATTTTGGATGATTTATAGAGAATATTTCAGTTGTAAGGGAATTCTGGTTGATTTGTAGATAATAGTTCAATTGTGAGAGAAATCTGGGTGATTTATGGACAATATTTCAATTGTGAGGGAATTCTGAATGATTTATTGAGGATATTTCAGTTGTGAGTAATATTTTTAGATAATATTTCAGTTGTGAGGGAATTCTGGATGGTTTATAGATAATATTTCAACTGTGAGGAAATTCTGGGTGATTTATAGGTAATAGTTAAGTCGTAAGGGAATTCTGGGTGATTTATAAATAATGATTCCGTTGTGAGGGAATTCTGGATGGTTTATAGATGATATTTCAGTTGTGAGAGAATTCTGGATTGTTTCTAGATAATATTTCAGTTGTGAGGGATTTCTGGGTGATTTATAGAGGATATTTCAATTGTGAGGGGATTCTGGGTGATCCTTTGAGGATATTTCATGTGTGAGAGAATTCTGGATGATTCTTTTAGGATATTTCCGTAATATTTCTAGATAATATTTCAGTTGTGAGGGAATTCTGGATGATTTATAGATAGTAATTCAATTGTGAGGAAATTTTGGATGGTTTCTAGATGATTATTTCAGCTGTGAGAGAATTCTGGATGATTTCTAGATAATATTTCAGTTGTGAGGGAATTCTGGGTGATTTATATCAATATTCAGTTGTGAAGCAATTCTGGGTGATTTATAGATGATATTTCAATTGTGAGGGAATTCTGGGTGATTTATAGGTACTGTTTCAGTTGTGAGGGAATTCTGGGTGGTTTATAGATAATGTTTCAATTGTGAGGGAATTCTGGATGCTTTATAGATTATATTTTATTTGTGAGGGAATTCTAGATGCTTTATAGGTACTGTTTCAGTTGTGAGGGAATTCTGGATGGTTTATAGATGATATTTCAATTGTGAGGGAATTCTGGGTGATTTGTAGGAAGTATTTCAGTTGTGAGGGAGTTCTAGATGATTTATAGAGGGTATTTCAGTTGTGAGGGGATTCTGGTTGAATTGCTGAGGATATTTCATTTGTGAGGGAATTCTGGGTGACTTATAGGTAATTATTCAGTTGTGAGGGAATTCTGGATGATCCTTTGAGGATATTCCAGTTGTGAAGGCGTTCCAGCTGACTCTTCCCCCCTTGTGTGATCAGCAATATCTAACGGCACATTTCCCTACAAACACTGAGCACATCCAGACCAAGCCATGCTTCCGAACACCCCAAACCTGCCGAGCACCTCGGGATGAGTCCCCGTGCCACCTGAGTTACCCTCTCTGTGTCCCTCTCCCAGGTACATGAAGTACCTCTATGCCTACGAGTGCGAGAAGAAGTCTCTGAGCTCCCCAGCCGAGCTCCAGGCCGCCATCGACGGCAACCGGCGCGAGGGCCGGCGGCCCAGCTACAGCTCCTCGCTGTTCAGCTACTCTCCCTCCCCGCCGGGGGCTCCTTCCCTGCTGTCCCCCCCCAAAATCCGCTTCCCCATCATCGGCGTGGCACCAGGCAGCGCCACCGGCAACCCCCGCGTGTCACCGGCCCTCAGGAAAGGTCAGCACATCCGTGGTGTGGTGGGAATGTGGGGCTGTGGTGTTGGCATTGTCCCCTGGCTGAGTGACCCCTCCTGACCGTGTCCATGCTGGGCCACATGGCCTGGCAATGTGGGAGCAGGGTGTTGGCAGTGTCCCCAGGCTGAGTGATCCCTCCTGACCGTGTCCATGCTGGGCCACATGGCCTGGGAATGTGGGAGCAGGGTGTTGGCAGTGTCCTCAGGCTGAGTGACCCCTCCTGACCATGTCCATGCCAAACTGCATGGCCTGGCAATGTGGGAGCAGGGTGTTGGCAGTGTCCCCAGGCTGAGTGACCCCTCCTCACCCAGGTGACGGCGTGCCCCTGACGGTGTCCATGCCGAGCCGCGTGGCCGTGCCGGTGACGCTGGGTGGCCAGCAGGGCACCGTGGCGGCCAGGACGGCCACGCTGGAGCAGCTGAGGGAGAGGCTGGAGGCGGGAGAGCCCCCGGAGAAGAAGGTGCCACGCATGACGGAGGAGGAGCAGCGGCTGGTGCAGCAGGCGCTGCAGCGCAACCTGTTCAGCATGGCCCGGCAGATCCCCATGAAGATCAAAATCAACGGCAAAGGTGAGGCACAGCGGGCTGAGCTCCTCAGGAAGCAGCACAGGGGGAAAGCTGCCAGCCTGGAATGTCACACACACATGGCTGGGTCACCTCTGAGGGGCCCAGGCAGAGGGCATGGCACAGAAGTGTTCAGGTGCAAGGTTTTGTTGGGTTTTCCTGCTGGGTTTATTCTCCAGCTCGTTCAAATCCAGCCTGAATTCAGAAGAAAAGGAGGCTCAGGGGTGACCTCATCACTCTCTAAGACACCCTGAAAGGTGCCTGTGCTCAGCTGGGGTTGGGCTCTTTCTCCAGGCAGCACTGACACAACCACAGGACACACTCTCGAGCTGCACCAAGGGAAATTTAGACTGGATATTAGGAAACAGTTTTTCACAGAAAGAGTGATAAAGTTCTGGAATGTTCTGCCCGGGGAGGTGGTGCAGTCCCCATCCCTGGGTGTGTTTAACAAAGCCTGGATGTGGCACTGGGTGCCAGGGTTTAGTTGAGGTGTTGGGGCTGGGTTGGACTCAGTGGCCTTGAAGGTCTCTTCCAACCTGGTCATTCTGTGAATTCTGTGACCTTTGCCACATTCCCAAAGCTCCAAGCTGGTCAAGTTTGGCACGGCTTGGAAGCAAGGGAAGAGCTGTTCTTGCTCCAGCAGTGCTGGTTTGAGGTGCTTGGCCACAAATATGGGTGGGAAAGGTCAAAGCAGGTTCCTCTGAAGCAGCAGTTCTTTTTTTTAGAACTTCTTTCTTTTTTAGATTGTATTACTTTTTGAAAATGTTCTTGTTTCTGGGCTTCTTCCCCAGCCTGGATTTAAACAATTCATCCTGAATCTTAGCAATGATTTCTGTGATGTCAGTGCTCCCAGTTCCTGGCAGCTCTGCATCCAGCCAAATTCCACATCAAAACCACAAGAGCCAGTGATAGGGAGTACAAATTTTATGCAGAGTGCTCATTCCCTCTCACCTCACTTTTGCTTTCACCCTGAACTAAATCCAAATGCTGGGAGCCATTGCAGTCCCTACAAACAGGAACATCCTGAGGGTTCACGGGTGGGATTCCCATCTTTCTAGGGGCTGTCTTGTCTTCCATGCCCTCCTTTTCCCCACTGCACCACAGAAACCAGGTGGAGCTTTGGGAGCTGCTCTGAGAGCTGGTTTTGATAAGCTCAGCGTGGCTTGGTAACAACATTTAGGTTCAGTTTTAGAGGGCTTTTTTGGCCTTGCTGCCCTCCGTGGAGGGGCAATCCAAAAATCCAGGCTCACCCTTGTGGAGCTGGAAGAATTCCATGTTCAGCTCCTCTCAAACCCAGCTACCCATCCCTGCCCAGGCTGGGGAAAATCCTGATTTTCATGGAGTGTCCCTGGCTTTTCCCTCCCTCCAGTGGCCACTGGAGCTGCTGCAGTCCGAGCACAGCGAGCCACAGCAAAATCCAGCTGGGAGTTAAATCCGGGCTTGTCTCTGTGCTCCCAGCCCTTCCTTGGGACAGGAATGGCCCTCGGGGGGACATTTCCCAATGCCAGCTTCACCAAAGCCTTTCAGCACCTCTGTAGCCTTGTCCTGGAATGGTTTGAGTTGGAAGGGACCTCAAAGCCAAGCACAGGGACACTTCCAAGTCCCAGGGTGCTCCATGCCCCATCCAGCCTGGCCTCGGGCATTCTGTGAGGACTTCCCGCCCGAAGAGGGGACCAAGGGGGCTGTGCTCACCTCCAGGGAGTGCCAGGAGTGGGATCGGTGCCCTCTAACTCTGCCTCCCTCCCTCCCTCCCTGCGACAAGACAAGGCCGACGCGGCGGCGCTGAACCTGTCCCCGAACGGCATCGGCAGCATCAACATGTCCGTGGAGATCAACGGCACCACCTACGCCGGTGAGAGAGCGGTCCTGCAGCGGGACAGCCCTCCCTGGGGGGTGGGACAGCCCTCCTGGAACGGGACAGCCCTCCTGGGAAAGGGGACATTCCCTCCTGGGGAGGGACGGGGGTGGTCCCTGCCAAATGGCAGCAGGAGGCGGTTCTTGTTTGTTGGGCTGGGCAGGAGCAGCACCTTTCCCTTGGTGTTAGTGCCTTAAAATCGGAGGGAAGGGGTTTGAAATCCACCTGGAAGCATTCATAGGAAGGACAGTTGTCCCTGTTCTCCTGAGGAGGGGCTTTGCTCAGCTTTCCCAGCAGGAATTGTCCCCTGGAGTAGTTCCCTTCTGCAGGTGACACCTGTGAATCCTTGGGCAAATCCCAAGTGGGAAGCCTGGCTCTGCCTGACCCTAACCCCAATGGGAGCTGTTGCTCCCTGAAGGCAGAACCCATTTGGGATCTGTTTTCTTTAGGGTCAGCATCCCTGTGCAGGCTCCAGCTCCAGACACCCCTTCCCTGCTGAGCACAGGAGCCAGACCAGCCACCCTGTGCTGGGAATGGGATCCTGGCCCTGGGAAAGGCTCCCCTTTGTCCTCTCTGTGCTGGGATGGGATCCTGGAGCTGGGAAAGCCTCTCCTTTGCCAACCTAACCATCTCTGAGCTAGGATAGGATCCTGGGGCTGGGAAAGGCTCCCCTTTGCCAGCCTAAGCCCCTTTGGCTCTCTGTGCCCACAGGGGTGCTGTTTGCCCAGAAGCCCGTGGTGCAGCTCCTGGCCAGCTCGGGCACGCAGAGCTCGTGCAGCAGCAGCAGCTCCAGCAGCTCCAGCAGCTCCCACTGCTCCCCCAGCCCTACCTCATCGCGGGGCACGCCCGGCGCAGAGCCCTCCACCAGCTGGTCCCTGTGACGGGCACTGCCCAGGAGTGCACACATACCTCACCTCAAGGAACCTGCTCTCGTGGCTGCACAGCACCTGGAGGATGATGATGATGATGATGATGGTGGTGGTGGTGATGGTGGTGAAACCTTTCCATGCCAGCGAGTTCTCCTTCATCATCTCTTTGTCCGGCCTTTTTTTGGCTTTGTTCCCCCCTTTCCTTCCTCCCTTCTGCTCTTTGGTTCCTCCTCCTCCCAGGGTGTGTGGTGTTCCCATGGAGGAGGGGCACACCTGGCGTTTCTCAATCAGGGATGGCTCTGGGGCCACAGCTCCTGGACAGGACGTCACCAGGGCAGGGAAAGGGCCAGGGCTGGGCTGGGGACCCTGGTTCTGGTGGAGCCCTGGTTCTGTTGGGAACCCTGGTTCTGGTGGAACCCTGGTTCTGTTGGAACCCTGGTTCTCTTGGGAGCACTGGTTCTGGTGGAGCCCTGGTTCTGATGGAACCGTGGTTCTGTTGGGATCCCTGGTTCTGCTGGAGACCTGGTTCTCCTGGAGCCCTGGTTCTGTTGGGAACCCTGGCTCTGGTGGAGCCCTGGTTCTGCGGGGAGCCCTGGTTCTGCTGGACCCAGGGCCACCAGGGCTCTTCCCTCCCACAACTCCGTGTTTTGACAATCCTGAGAGCCGGGGTGTGCCTGGCCCTGTCCTCCCATGGCAATCTGCTCGTGTCCCTTCCTGCTGTGGCCCCATGTCCTCCCTGCTGCTCCTCTCCACGGTTCTGGCACCATCAGCTGCTCAGTTCTGGCTGCTGCCACCTCACCCCTCGAGTCCTGAGTGTCCCTGAGGAGTGACACAGGGCCTGGGCGTGCTGGGGTTCCATGTGTCCCGCTGTGTCCCCGTAGCAGGGTCACTCAGGTTGGTGCAGGCTCCCTGGAGCAGCTCTGGGAGCTCTGCAGGGCTGTGTGCTCAGCACACGGCTGCAGGTGGGGTGTAAATGTGGGGATCTGGGGCTCTGAAGAAACCCCCTCTGACTGTACCCGAGCAGGGCAGGCCTCCTGCTCCCAGGGAGGAGCAGAGCCCAGGGAATCCAGCCCTTCCTGGCCCAGGGAATCCAGCCCTTCCTGGCCCTGGGAGCCCGTGCTGGAAGCAGAGCTGGAGCTCCCTGTGGATCAGCTGCTCAGGTGGCCTGGTGCTGTCCCCCTGTGCTGTCCCCACCCTGCTTTCCCCATCCCCTGCCCTGGTGCCATCCCTGCCATCCCTCCTGCCCTGTGACGTCCTTCCCGTGCTGCAGGCCCGAGTCAGGTTTTTTGAGCAGACGAAATACCTCAGATATGTACTTGTTGGGTTGCTTTTGTTTGTGTTGGGTTGGTTTTTTTTAACCTCTTCAGGAAGTATTGGCATATCCTATCGCTTGGGGGTTTTCATAGGTGGGTTTGCTGACTTTGTGTTTGCTTTTATTTCTGTTGGCTTTTAATGGATCACCAAAGACAGGGAGTTCAGACAAGGCTGAGCAGAGGAGCAGTGGCTTCCCCACCCTCCAGGAGCCCATCCCAGGACATGTGCACGGTGGGACAGCAGGAAAACAGAGCAGGGGTGATCCTGCCCCTTGGATCTGTGCGTTGTCCTCGCTCTCCCAGCTCCGGGCTCTGCCCTCCTGCTGCTTCCTGCGCTGTGCCAGGGCTGTCCTGCCCCCGCAGTCCCCAGGGATCACCGGGATGCCCGTGTCCCCGGGCTCTGCCCTCCTGCTGCTTCCTGCGCTGTGGCAGGGCTGTCCTGCCCCCTGTCCCCGGGGATCACCGGGATGCCCGTGTCTTGGGAGGGATGCTGTGCCCAGCTGCTCTCGGAGGGAGCGCTGCCCTCCCTGTGGGCGGGGAAGCCGGGCTGACCCGCAGGCTCCTTCCATCCTCACAGACTCCCAGAAGATTTTCCAGCCTCTGGGACTCAATCAGATTATTTTTCTCCCCCTTTTTTTTGGGTTTTCTTTTGGTTGTTTTATTTTATTCTTGGGTGGGGTTGGGCTGTTTCCTCTGAGTGGGACTGGGGCACTTTCTGCTTTTCCCTCTGCTCTGCTCCCTGGCCCCGGGGATCAGAGGCTGCTCCGGGGTGGGGCTGCTTTGTCTCACTTGCTAACGTTGTGTTTTCTTGCACAGAAAGGCACTCGAATCACTGAACTGCTTGGACACTACTAGAGTATTAATGTTTATAAGCTTTACTCAACCTAGACTGGAACTAGCCAGGGACTAACAGATTGTTTTGTATCCAATTCAGGGAAAGAATCAGGTCGGGAAGCGTAACAGATACCTCAGTTAAATAAGCTGCAACAATAAACCGGTCCTTTTCCCAGCCCGGGGTGACAAGGACCATCCAGACTGTGAAGAGTTAACCCTTTCCCTCAGCCTGGCTTTGGCCCTGGCAGCCTGAGCTGCGGGTCTCCTGCTGAGCTGCCAGGCTTTGGGTGGGGGTGCTGGAAACCAGCAGCAGAGCGGGGGAGGCCGAGCGGGGGCCGCCCCAGCCCCGTGTCGTACTCAGGGTTTGATGCTGCCAGCAGGACGTTCCCGAGGGCAGTGCTCCATCCTCCCCCAGCTCCACACACCAGCCAAAACCCCCGGCCAGCCCCCAGCTTGCTGCCCCGGCGCTTCCAGGGGGGAAGAGCGAGCCGAGCCTGCTCCCGGGGCTGCGGGGAAGGCACCGAGGGTGGGTGGGGTGAGGGGAGGCTGGTGTGCCTGCTCGTTCCCAGGGGACTGCGGTCAGATGTTCTCTCCAAACAGCTGCAGCAGCCTTGCTAACTAGTTTTCTTACCTATTTAAAAGAGAAAAAAAAATAATAAAATAAGTAAATAAAAACAAATGTGATAGCCTAGGCGGTGGATAAATACCTCAACGTCTCCTTCCAACAAGTGTCTGTATATGTTGTTGTTGGGTTTTTTCTATCTTACAGGTTATCTGAATGTTTATATTCCAATAAACTTCTACCTCTTCACACCGTGACCCCCACGCCTGCTTTGTGCCCCTGGCTGGCTCCCTGAGGGTAAAGAATTCCCAGAGAACTGGGCTGTGTCCTTGCAGGGCCCTGAGGGTAAAGAATTCCCAGCTATTCCCAGAGGTGGGCTGTGTCCTTGCAGGGGCTCTGAGGGTAAAGAATTCCCAGCTATTCCCAGAGAACTGGGCTGTGTCCTTGCAGGGGCCCTGAGCTCCCAGTTTGGAGGTGGCCCGGGCTGGAGCGATGGCGCTTCCAGGCTGGATTCTGACGGAAGCCGCACGGGCCCTCCTGTCCCGGGTGTCGCCGGAGCCGTCCCCGCCCCTGTCCCTTGCCCATCTCCCAAATCCCTTCTCTGTCACCGCCTGCTCCCCGCGAAACCGCCTCGATCGCCTCTCCGCTGTTTGCACAGCGCCCGGCGCTGCTTTTCCAGTCACGGAACAGTTGGGCAGCGGCAGGGAGCCCTTCCCGGTCCCTCCCGTGCCAGCCGTGCCGCTCCCCGGGTGCCGGGGAGGGCATGGAGTCCTCGACCTTCCTCATCCTCCCCCCGTGGAACCAGAACCGCTGCCCTGCCCTCAGGCCCGGCTGCAGGTGAGCTCCGGGCTCCGCTCCCAGCCTATCCCAGCCTCGGCCCCAGCTCCCCTCCCCTCCGGCTCTCCAGCCCCGGCTTCTCCCCTTGGCAGCGCCGCTCGACGGCTCCCCGGCGCAGGCGATGCCCGGAGCAGGTAAGGCGGGCTTTGTTCGGGGATCTCCCCCGGCCCAGGGCAGCTCAGCTCAGCTGAGCCGGGCTCAGCCGAGAAGCGGCTCCGTGGTGCTCGCCCCAAGCCCCGCAGCCCTGCCCCGGTGGAGCTGGGCCCCGCAGGGGATCCTGGCGCGGACATCGGCACCCCCAGCCCTGCCGGTGTCCGTGTGTGTGTCCGGACACGCTCCGGCCCTTCCAACTCGCTGTCCCGGGGCTGGACGGCCGCGGGCATCGGCAGACGCTGTTTGGGCTGGAATACAATCCCTGGAGGGAAATTCCAGCCAGCCCCCTCCCCTCCATCCCTCCCTAAATGCCGCCATTCAGCTCATCCCAGCCACCACCCGGCTCCCGAACAAACAACAAAGGGCTGCGGGGAGCCCAGCGCGGATTAAGGCACCTGGGCAGGGCCCGGCCCCGCGGGGTGAGACAATGCCCGCTTTTCTCCTTCTGACATCCCCATCCCTTCATGGACCCGGCTCAGGCTCTGGCACAGCCTCGTCCCAGCCCTGTTCTCCTTAATCCCTCGCTCCAGCGCTGAAAGCGAAGCCAGCTCTGGGCACGGGGAGGTTTTCTGCCAGCACAGCCGCACAGATGCCACCTCTGAAACTCAGGAACTAAATTCCAAAGGAGTTTCAGCTCTCGTGTCCAGGAGTTGCTTCTCTGCTCCCTAAATGTCCCGTGTCCAGCGATGCCCTCTTTCCAGGTAGCCCAAAAAGCCCGCGGGCATCCCTGCAGGGAGGGACAAAATCCAGCTCATCACGGCTCAGGGGGGAGGTTCCCCTCTTTGGGTTCGGGCTTGGCTTGTCTCAGCCCTCAGGGGCCGCTGCCGCTTTGAACCCATCCCGGACACCCCAAATCCCCCTGGCAGGCGCCCCCTCTCCCCCGCACACCCTGTGAGCCCCCAGCAAGGCCCGGCTGTGTGCCCGAGCTGCGTCCGCCTGGCACGGCGCCGATAACTGCCCGCTCTCAGGCCCTTATCACAGCCGGGGCGAGGCCGCCTTTCTTTCAGCCCCGGCCCGTGTCAGGCTGCCCGAGCGCGGCTCCTGTCCCACCTGCTGCCTTTGGGATGCTCCAGCTCAGTCCCGGCTGCCAAAGAGCCCCGGGGAGGGGGCACCCGGCCCGTCCCAGCTGCCCGCCCTGCTGGCACCCGCCCGCTCACCGTGCCCATCTCTCTCTCTCCAGCGCACCTGCAGGTCTCCCTCGGCGCGGGGCTGTCCCTCCTCTGCCTCGGCGTCCTCCTGAGCTGTGCCATGTGCTGGTGGCACCGCCGGCGCCCCGGCAGCCCCCTGGGCCGGCAGCGAGTGGAGCTGGAGGCGGCTCTGCCCGCGGCCACGGTGCCGGTGCCCGTCCAGCAGCAGGGCGAGGAGCTGACGGGAGAGGCGCCGGGTGCTCGGGCGAAGGAGATTTCCCCGGCATCGCCGGCACCCCGCGGGGGCTCGCCCCACGGCAGAGCGTCCCTGCCCAGCCTCCCCTTCCTCCCGCAGCTGGCGGGGCTGTGGCAGCGCCGCTGCACCATCGCCGGCACCGAACTCCTGCGCAACGAGCGGAGCCCGCTGGTCCCCGCCGCCCCGGGCTCCCCACCGCGCCCCCGGCTCCACTGCGACCTGCGCTACTCCCTGCCCGAGGCCACCCTCACTGTCACCGTCCTCGGCGTGTCGCACCTGCCCCAGGGCCACCAGGGCTCCCGCGTCAAGGTGTCCCTGGTGCCGCCGTCCCGCCGCTCGGCCGTGCGCCGCAGGAGCCTCCGCCCCGCCCGCCGGGAGCCGCGCCGGTGCCGGTTCGGCCCGTGCGGCCCGGAGGAGCTGGGCAGCTGCACCCTGCGCTTTGCTGTCTACGCCAGGTCACGGAGCCTCCAGGATTCCTTCGTGGGAGAGGTCCTGTTCCCCTGCGCCGAGGCCTCCTGGGACCCCCGCGCCCCCTCCAGCTACTCCTGGGAGCTGGCGAGCACCAAAACCAAGCTCGGCAAGGTCAGCACGGCAGCGCTTTCAGTGCTTGGGCTGAGTTTCGCCCCATCTCAGAGCCCTGGAACCCCAGGAGCAGAGGCAGAGCCTCTTCCAAGCAGCAGCTGGAGCCCCGTGGTGTGCTCATGGCAGCACAAGCCCCTGGCAGTGCCTCCCCCCTCGGGGGCTTTGCACCTCATCCTCAGGGGGGCTGGGCTGGGAGGGAGCTGGCAGCATCCCTGCAGCGCTGCTGAGCATCAAACCCACCGCCGTCCTGCTCATTCCATTCTCCTTGCTGGGACAGGAGCATTGCCAGGATGGAAGGGCTGGAGGTGGGAGGGTTGGAGGAGATCAGATGTGGAAGGGCTGGAGAAGGCTGGAGGTGGAAGGGCTGGATGAGGTTGGAGCTGGAAGGACATGATGAAATAAGAGTTGGAAGGGCTGGATGAGGTCAGAGATGGAAGGGCTGGAGAAGGCTGGAGCTGGAAGGATTGGGAGAGGTTTGACTTGAAAGGACATGACAAGGTTGGAGCTGTAAGGACATGATGAGGTCAGAGGTGGAAGAGCTGGAAGGACATGGTGAGGTTGGAGGTGAAGAACAGGGTGAGGTTGGAGGCTGAAGGGATGGCTGAGGTCGGAGGAGGTTTCCCAGCATCTCCTGCTCTCTCTCCCGTTCCAGCGCCGCAGTGCCCCCAGCCCGAGCTGCAGCGTGCTGTCCTCGCCCCCCAGGCCCCTGGGCCAGCTCCTGCTGCTGCTGCAGCACCAGCCCCCGGCCGGGCGCATCAAGGTGCTGCTGCGCAAGGCCCAGGCCCTGGGCCGGCTGTCCCGCGTGCCAGGCACCCCAGGTAGGGCACGGGGACCGGGATGTGCCCAGGTGGGCACCGGGAATGGCTTCCCCTCCTTGTGCTTGGCAGATTCTCTCATTCCCTCTCGAATTTCTCTCTTCCAAGCATTGGGGAGGGTTGGAATGAGATGATCTTTGGGGCTCCTTCCAACCCAAACCTCTCTGGGATTCTATCACTGGATGAAAAGGAGCACTGGCAGTGTAATACATATCTAGGTAT